GCGCTCTGCTTTCAGCCAAGATCCATCAGACATCAGCAATGATATCCCTTGTTCCACATCCTCTTCTGAATCAAACTTGAATCTCTGGAAGTTCTCTGTCAATGTATACTTCCAACCATTTCTGTATTACCTTTAGTGAAACTTTATTTTCATGGGATATCAAAGAGATTGTCCAATGATTTCCTCATTTTGTTGGGTCGCCTTTCTTTGGAATGGGCACAAATACGGATCTCTCCCAATCAGTTGGCCAGATAGTTGTCTTCCAAATTTCTTGGCATAGATGAGTCCCACCTCACTTCCTTGAAAGATTTTAATATATATTCCATCAATTCCCTGTGCCTTGTGCTTTGCCAATTCCTTCAATTCCCCTTGAGCTTCTTCCTTCAGGATCATTGGCTTTTAATCATATGCTACCTCTTGAAATGGTTGAACATCAACCATTGCCTTTTGGTACAGTAACGCTGTGTATTCTTTCCATCTTCTTTTGATGCTTTCTGCATCATTCAATAATTTTCCCAGAGAATCTTTCAATAACGAAAGTCGAGGGCTGAACTTTTTCTTCAGTTCCCCCTGCTTGAGAAATGCTGAGCGTGTTCTTCCCTTTTGGTTTTCTAACTCTAGATCTTTGCACATTTCATTGTAATATTTGACTTTGTCTTCTCGAGCTGACCTTTGAAATTTTCTGTTCAGCTCTTGGACCTCTCATTTCTTCCATTTGCTTTAGTATCTCTATGCTGGAGAGCAAGTTTCAGTGTCTTTTCTGACATCCATGTTGATCCTTTCCTTCTTTCTTGTCTTCTTAATAACTTTTTGTTTTCTTCATGTATGATGTTCTTGATGTTATCCCACAACTCTTCTGGTCTTCGGTCTTCAGTGTCTAACGTATCAAATCTGTTCTTCAGATGATCTCTAAATTCAGGTGGAGTACATTCAAGGTCATATTTTGGCTCTTGTGGACTTGTTTTAATTTTCTTCCACATCAGTCTGAATTTGCATATGATCAGTTGATGGTCTGTTCCACAATCTGCCCCAGCCTTGTTTTAGTTGATTATTTGGAGCTTTTCCACCGCCTCTTTGCACAAATGTAGTCAATGCATGCATATGAGGTTACTGAAAATATCAAGACTTGGGTCAGGTGCACCTTAGTCCTTTGCTCTTGAATACTTTAAAAGAGGTATGGTGCAGCAGATTTGCCTAATGTATAACATCATTAGATTTCCTGCCTGCTGCTTCCATGAGTGCTGATTGTGGATCTGAGTAAAATGAAACCCTATGTACAACAGAACACAACGCTGCCCAGTGTTGGACCCACCATCCTCACAGTCAAAAATGAACAATGTGTGAGTCCCATCACCACATTGAGAGTCTTCTTCCATGGTGTCTCCCTAGTCTGTTTGTTTATTTATAAATAATATACACATCCTGTCAAACTAATCTACATTATAAGATATTCACACAAAATAGACCTTTAAAACCATCAGATAAAATATTAAATTAAGTGGTAATATATTTTCTTCCTGCACTGACCTTGAACACCGTGACTTTAAATTCAAGAAGGAATGGATCCAGCTGCCGGCAGCCCTTGCTCACTGGATTTTTTGTTTTTGTATTTTCAGGACATGTTCACATTACGGACTTCAACATAGCCACCGTTGTGAAAGGCGCAGAAAAGGCTTCCTCCATGGCTGGGACTAAGCCTTACATGGGTGAGTGGTCCAGACCCTTGTGTACCATGCCCAGGACTACACTCTTTCGTTCATGCTTTGCCTGCCTCAGCTCCAACACCCACCTTCCATCTCCAGCTCAGGCTCCACCTGTTCCCAGCATGTGCTATGCTTTCTGGAACCTCTGGACCATTCTCAAACTACTGAGAAGTTCCTCTCTTCCTAAGGAACTTCTGGAGAACTTCTACTCAGTCAGAACACCCTGGTCCAGTGGTTTTGCCAGAGTATATGTTGGTCTTAGTCATCTTGGGTCTACATTCTTAGGTACACCATGATCTTTCAATATGTAGTTTAAAATGTTTTAAGATCATTTTCTTTTTTTAAATCTTTTATTGTGAATTGAGTGATAGTCTACATGGCAGAACATGAGTTTTGCACTCAACCAATCAAAGCTTATTTCACTGTAATGAGTACAATCCTCTTTTCTCACGTACACAAAGACACAGAAGAATATATAAACATTTAAGCAACCAAAGGACACATTTTGCAAACTAGTCTCTTGCCCACCAGCACACAGCCTTTCTCCTTCCATGAGTCTAGAGTTCTCAGCTGCTCTATCTCTCCATGCTATCACCTTTGCCTCCGACTCTGGTGTCGCTACTTCCCTGGTTAGGATCCCACATTCTGCTCATGCTCTTCTCCCTTGATGGTCCTAGGGTCCTCTGTTCCTGGACTGTAAGATAATCATCGTTGTTGCTGTTGTTAAATGTCGTCAAGTCGATTCCTACCCATAGCGACCCTTTACATGGTTTCTGAGGAGGAGCTGGTGAGCTTCAACCTCCGACCTTGCAATTCAAGCCAACTTTACAATCTAGTGCATTAATCCACAGCATCATAATAGACATATTCTTAATGTCTGCATGAATTATCGGAGTCCTAGTGTGGCGACAATGTAGATCCTATACCACTGTAGGTCAAGGCAGTTTCCATCAGTTCTGACTACCCCAGGGTCTCTTTCTCAGCCACACTAGTGTTTTCGCCCCTGCTATGGAACGAGGCAAAAAATTGCTGGCTATCTCCTCAGAGGCTCCATTTAGACCTTCCTGACCTCATCCCCCAGCTCCCCACTGATAGTCTTAGAAAGCTTTGTCCTGAATCTTAACCTCTAAGGAAGCAGACCAGTGATGACCCAGCTGGTCAGTCTTCACCTTGTGACCTCACCACATACCTACCATCACCTGCAACCTCACAGTGACCACATGGAGTTTCTGCTTCTCATTTCACACGCAGAACCAGAGACCCACAGGTTAATTAACCTGTCCAGGGGCACAAGGCTCGTACATGAAGGAGCCATCATTTGAACCTAAGTCTGTCTGTATCCAAAGCCCATGTTTTTGTCTCTAAAAACCAAGCTGGCCTTTTCTGACAGTGAGCTCCTGTGTCCTAACTTAGTATTGCTCAGATAAATATTGAGTGTCCCTGATTGGTACAGGGTCCAGGGCTTCTGGTATCCTAATTAGAGCAGTTTCAGGTCTGAATTAATGAACTAATGCACAGGAGAGTTGTATGGGATTGAAAGGGTACATCTGATTTACCAATTGGAGGTACTTTCAGAAACTGTAGGGGGATAGCAGTACCAGGCAGTGTGAGTCAGTTCAGGAAGACGGGACTTGGGGAGAACTCACTCAGTAAAGATAAATCCTAAATTTCCCAGGACTGTAAATTTCAAATGTCAAGTGGCCACCTTGTTGATTTTCATGGCTGGAGTTATTGAGTTCAAAGGCCCAATAGCAAGTTCCCAGAATATTCCTATCACCAACTCAGGAGGCAGCTGATAAGCAAAAGACCCCAAAGGTTGCTCATCAAGGATGATCCCTCAGAGAAACATTTGCATGAAGCTGAACTTTTATTAATTAAAAGAACAGATGGAATCCACAATCGGAGGAAGAAAATTCTCTGAAATGTTCCAGATCAGAAAGCAGAAATGGTCCAGCAGTTGCCCAGGGCTTTGGAGTTTATTAATCTGAGATGTGATACAGAGCCAAGCATTCATTCAGCAAACATATGAAGTGGTTAGAGGTGCCGGGCTCCAAGTGGGGCTCTGGTGCTACCTTCTGGTCACCGGGAGCTCACCGTCGAGAGGGACAGAGGGGGTGTCAGAGAGGTCATGCACCATGAAGAAGAAACATGTTCAGACACAAGCCTAGTACCATTGAGTTGATTCCGAAAGAGTAGAACAGCTCCCAAGAGTTTCTGAGACAGTCAATTTTTTTGGAAACAGATTAATTCATATTTCTCCCACAGAGCAGCAGGTAGATTCAAACTGCTGACCTTTTTGGTTAGCAGCCCAATGTTTAACCCACTGTGCCACCAGGACCCTGTTGAAGTGGTTGTTGTTGTTGTTAAGTGCCTTTGACTCAGTTCTAGTTCATAGTGACCCCGTATGGGGTTTCCGAGGCTTCAAATCTTCACAGGAACAGAAAGCCTTATCTTTCTCCCACGGAGCAGCTGGTGGGCTCAAACCCCAGACCCCATGGTTCACAGTCCAGTGCTTACCATATGGAGCCACCACGCCCTAAATTAAGGCCCCGCATTCTATGTGCCTTGACATCTGGCATCCTTGAACAGCTTGCCTGCAGTTTCCCAGAACCCATTGAGTCCTGGTGGTGCAGTGGTTAAGCACTTGGCTGCTAACCAAAGGCCAGTGGTTCAAGTCCATCAGCCACCATGTGGAGCAAAGATGGGGCATTCTGCTTCCATAAAGATTACAGCCTCAGAAACCCTAGGGAGCGAGTCTTCTCTCTCCTTTAGGGTCACTAAAGTCGGAATCAAGGATACGGTAACAGATTGACTGTGTTCCCATGGATGAAATTCCCCTAATCCAACTACTCTCCTTATCCAGAGACCAGGCACAGTGATAAGTAGTGGGTTTGAAGTCCCTGCTGGCCACAGAATTATCCAAACCAGTCAGTTCCATCCTTCTGAGGGAATCAGGGGTATAACACCCTCTTGTTACTACAAAGCCGGCTGCCACAGCTCCTGAGTGTGGCTTTGTGTGCTGTGTTATGTCCTCCTTTCTCAGGTGTGAGTTGGTGGTGTTGTTATTAGGTGTCGTTGAGTCAATTCTGACCCATAGTGACCCTGTATAGGGTTTCCAAGGAGCAGCTGGTGAGCTTGAACCACCGACCTTGCAGTTCAGACGACTTTGCAGTCTGGCATTCAGGTGACTAATCTATGGGAGCATCTCGTCAATCCTTAGCCATCCTCAGAGTCCTAGGGTGAGTATCCCTCCTTCACAAACAGGTGAAGAGGAGGTGGCTAGAGCAGGGTAGCAGTCTCAGGTAGACACTGGGCATGAGTAGAGTTTACCTTCTGGGGGAGAACAGGGAGCGGTCGTTTCCTACAGAGGGAACAGCCAATGCAAAGGCTCTGAGCAGTTAAGGAGCACATCACCTGTCACACCTGTCAGGAGACCCTAGACCTGAGTCCTGGTGGTGCTGGAGGATAAGCACTGATCTGCTAACCTTAAGGTTAGGGTTCAAGCCCACCAGCTGCTCTGATAGAGAAAGTTGAGGCTTTCTGCTCCCATGAAGATTTACAGTCTTGAAAATTAATGGGGCAGCTCTACTGTCCCCTGTAGTGTGGTTACAATGAGTCAGAATCAACTCAGTGACGATGGGAGTGACAATAGCTTATAAAACATGAGGAGGTGGGGAGGGAGGAGAGAGATGAGCCAAAGCATGAGGACCTTGAAGGCCATGGCAAAGGGATAGGGAGCCAGTGAAGGTTCAATGCAGGTGACTGCTCTGTCTGAGAGACCCAACTTCATGTGTGACCCTGATGAGTAACAGGAAAGCACCCGGGCCGGGTTAGCCAGGAGTATAGGAATGGTTCTAGGTAAAAATCAGAAAGGTGTCCAGTTGTTCCAGTTGTGAGCTTCCAGATGACCTGGATCAGTTCTCCTGTCCCAACATGATGCACGTAAAAGGCTCGTTGTATGAACACGGGGGCAAGATTTTTGGCTGCTGCCTTCATTTCTGCTTTGAATGGAATCATGTCCCCTCCAAATATGTGGCGGGTTCCTAACCCCCATCCCTGTGGGGAGGATCTAATGGGATCATCTTACATCGAATGTGATGTAATGTAAGCGCCTTTCGTAGTACAGTCGTCTCTGCACCTCATTAGAACTTTCTCATTGGGCTGATGAGAAAGAATAAAAGAGAAAACAGTATTTTCTCATTAGCCAAATGAACGTCCCCTTTCTCCTCTTCTTTCTGTACTGATATGCAAAAGCCCTGATGGCCAGTGGACTCTTGGCACACAGTAATGAAGCAAAACCCGTGTTCTGTTGCTTTGGACGCTGCTGCTATAGCTGTTAAGTGCTGTTAGCAACCCCAGGAAGAGAGATGGTATCAGAAAGATACAGCAATTTCATTTTATGTCAAATTAATATGTAAGTGGGTGACACCTGAGTCCATCTGGCTAGCCAGGGTGCCAAAGAAATAGAAATTACCCCCAAGGGCTTGAAAGGCAGGTACATTTTGTATCTCTGCTTCCCACAGGTTTTTTCAGCACGCCTTAATACAAGGAGCGACGTTAGGCTCATGAATTATTCAATAAACATGTACAACATGTGCCTTTCATGGCTCATTCACTAATGAATTAATATAATGGAAATCTGGCTCACATCTGTTGTGACATACTAAATACTTTACATGTGGTATCTCATTATGAAGTAAAGGCTGTTACTATTATTATTATTCCATGGACTCTAAGACTTGCTCAGAGGTTCCATGCTTGCCCAGTGACACCAAAAAACACCAAGCTCACTGCCTTCACATTGATTGCAACCCTGAGGGATCCTGTGGGACAGAGGAGAACCTCCCCACAGGGTGTCCAAGCTGTAAGTCTTTCTGGAAGCAGACTGCCTCAGCTTTCTCACACAGTGATTGGTGGGTTTCAACTGATGACCTTTGGATGAGCAGTCCTCTGTGCAATTGGGGCTCTGTTTCCCAATGATAAGCAGACTGCCAAGGTAGGGC